GTCGGTAGCAAGGCTGCCTCGGAGGGGGAGGACTTGCGGTTCAACTTCAAGGAGGGGAACGAAAGATGACCTAAACATGAAGACTTGGAGGCCCGCGCGGATTTCTCGGATCGGCGCTGGAGACCCCTGGCGGCGCCTCCGGCGCAGCCCCTTGTGCGCTCCGCGCGCCAGGGAGGGGGCTCCAACGCCGATCCGAGAAGTCCGCGCGGACCTCCGAGTTGTGATATTGATGTCATTTTTGACGAACGAACAACACACACCCATACCCATAGGGGCGGTCGTTGGGAGGAGGACTCGCTATGGGTATGGGTGCGGGTTGTCGGACCCTGGGGAACGCTCCCGTTCGAGCGGGGACCCCCATCCGACAACACGTACCCATAGCCCTCTCCGACCCCCCTATGGGTATGGGTGTGTGTGTGTGTGTGTGTGTGTGTGTCGTTGGTTCGTCAATTTTTCGTTTCCCTACCAAGATAACCAGCAACTTCTCCGCGGCGGTGGATGTCGCAAACAAGGCGATCTGCAGGCCGAGTCTGCTCACCGTGGAGTGGGACAGCAGGGCGGGCGCCGCGGAGCTGCGCTCCTCGGCCGACTGGGGCGCCTCGCCGCACACCTTCTACAACGTCGAGCGCACCCTGGGGAGGCACGGAGAGCTCATCCTCGGGGGCGTCCAAGAGAGGGGGTTGAGGCCAGGGGTGTGTGGATAGCACGGCTGCGCGGCTGGGGCCATGAACAGTCCCGGATATCACCGCCCCTCTTCTTCTTCTTCTTCTCCTCCTTCTCCTTCTTCTGATTATTCTTCTTATTATTCTTCTTTTTGTTTAAGGGCGCAGCCCGTAGTTTGGTTTTCGGGAAGTAGACAGAACTGACTGACAGAACAGACTGACAGAACTGAACTGAATCACCAAAGCCGTTAGATGGCAGCTTTATTTCTGGGGGTGAGGCTATTTCGCTGGCATTTTTAAGGCAGGGGGTGTGAGGATCTTTCGCTGGCATTTTTAGGCCAGGGGGTGAGGATATTTCGCTGGCAGTTTTAGGCCAGGGCGGCCCCGACAGCGCTACGCAGATTGATTCTCGATGCTGTTTTTCATTGAGCGAGTCAGGCTGCCCTCCAGGGGCACGGGCGCGGTGCCACCCGCAGCGCTGCATCCTGTCCTGTCCTGTGCAGTTTTAGGCCAGGGGGTGAGGATATCGCTGGCAGTTTTATGAGAGGGGTGTGAGGATATTTTGCTGGCAGTTTTATGCCAGGGCGGTGAGGATACTTTCCAGATGTAACCAAGCAGTTCCATGTGCCACGCACGGGCGGTCAGGAGTGATCGGCGGATTCGTTGGTCTGGGGTTCGGGGCGCATCATGCAGCCACAGTATTGGAATATGGATCACGCTCGGCATTGGGCTAAGGCTCAATTCGTTGGTCTGGGGTTCGGGGCGCATCATGCAGCGCGGTGCTGCGCCCATATATGTGCTCGCCCCTTGGCGTGGGGCTGGCGGGGGGCCAAGGAGCGAGCTGTCTGGTGATTCTTCTTCTTCTCCTTCTTCTCCTTCTTCATCTTCTTCTTCTTCTTCGTCCTCTTCTTCTTCTTCTTCTTCTGCTTCATCTCATGCGTTCCCTGCCCCCCGCTCGTCCGCGCACGTGCCTCAGGTCGGCCGTGCGGAGCATCCCCTCCTCTTCCTGGCCACCCCTCTTCGGCGCCCCGGATGTCCAAGACGAGCTGGAGCAGCTCGGGGGCGAGTTCACCATGGCCTGGCGCGGAGATCTGGTCGACCCGCCCTGCGCACGTCCGGCGGGCGTGCCGCTGCACGGCACGTCGTCGGAAGAGGGTCGCGGAGATATCGGGCGGGCCTGCGGCAACTCCGCCATCCTCCTCCTCCTCCTCCTCCTCCTCCTCCTCCTCCCTGTCCTCCTCCTCCTCCTCCTCCTCCTCCTCCTCCTCCTCCTCCTCCTCCTCCTCCTCGTACAAGCGAGTCACTCCGTGTGGCGACGAGTCGGGCGTCCGCCCAGACGGCCGTCGCGCGCGGCACCTCCTGCCCTGCGCTGCTTGATAGGGGCCCTCTGCTTGGGCCGTGTGGGGGGCTGTCGTGGGCTCCTGTGGGGGCAGTCTTAAGGGTCCCATTGGGGCTCTCTTGGGGCCCTCTTGGGGCCCTCTTGGGCCATCTTGGGGCCGTCTTGGGGCCCTCGGGGCCCTCTAGGGGGCTGTCGTGAACTCCTGTGGGGCAGTCCTGGGGCCCTCTTGGGCCGTCTTGGGGCCCTGCTGGGCCGTTTCGAGGCCCTGCCAGACCTGTTGGGGGCTGTCTTGGCCGTCTGGGGGGGCTCTGAAGGCCGTCGTGGGGCGGGCCGTCTTTCCTGGCAATCTGGGGAGCATTGGAGAGCTGAGCAGGGAGGGGGCATGGCGCATGCGGCTGGGCGCCACCGTGTCGATACGCGATATCCGACCCCGAACCAAACCTCCAGGTCGGTTTTGGAAGTCGCCGCGGCGACCGCGGCGGCAACAATTCGGGGCAAGTGTCAGGGAGTGGCATGTACACGCGGCTCCCAGTTAACACTTCAGCGAGAGACAGCTATCAGTTTATACTCAACATGGGCAGTCTGGTTTTTTTAGTTAGGGGTCCATTATCACGCAACTGAAGAGAGGGGGGGCCTCAGAAGACTACGGTGGAGACCCATGCCAAGAAACACCCTGCTTGCCTTCAGGGTGCCCTGGGTTTCTTGAGTTTCGATGGTTTTGCTGTGGAGAGCGCGACGTTCCCACAGAAAAACCAATGGACGTCCTGGGGTCTCAGGGTTGGTTTTCTCGTGGAAGGTTTCTTGTGGTCGGGCCCCTACTGTACCAGACAACACTCGGCGTCCTGCCACGCTTCAGCGTGCCCAGACATCCGACGAGACACTTTTTTTTGTTTTCCATATGCGCGGCCCCAGAGCTCCCGAGACCCGAAAGAGCGCGTTCTGTGGTCGCTAGGAGGGGGGGGGTTGGAACCGGACCCCCCCCCCCTGGATGGAGGGGGGGGGTTCGACCCCCCCCCCTGCTTCCCTTCCCCTCGGGCCGGCGCTGCGCTTGCGTCGACGGCGGCTGGCGACGGCGGCGGGGACGACGATTTCCACTTCTGGGCTGGCGCCGGCGCCTGCGGCGGCGGGCGGCCGTGGCGGGGAGCGTCGACGATGACGACGGTGGTGGTGGTGGTGGTGGGTTGTGGTGGTTGTGGTGGTGGCGGTGGTGGTGGTTGTTGTGGTGGTGGTGCGGTGGTTTGTTGTGGTGGTGGTGGTTGTGGCGGTGGGTGGTGGTGGTGGTGGTTTGGTGGTGGTGTGGTGGTGGTATGTGGTGGTGGTGGTGGTGATGGTGGGTTGTGGTGGTGGTGGTGGTTTGGTGGTGGTGTGGTGGTGATTTGTGGTGGTGGTGGTGGGTTGTGGTTGTGGCGGTGGTTTGTGGATGTGGTGCTGGTGGTGGTGGTGGCGGTGGTGGAGGTGTGGTGGTTTGTGGTGGTGGTGGTGGGTTGTGCTGCTGGTAGTGGTGGTGGTTGTGGCGGTGGTGGTGGTGGTGGTGTGGTAGATTGTGGTAGTGGTGGTGGGTTTTTGTGGTGGTGGTGATGGTGAGTGGAGTTGTGGTGGTGGTGGTGGTTGTGTGGTGTGGTGGCGGTGGCGGTGGTGGTTTGTGGTGGTGGGTGGTGGTGGGTTGTGGTGGTGGCGGTGGTTTGTGGACGTTTGTTTGGGTGATGGTGGTGGTGGTGGTGGTGGTGGTGGCGGTGGTGGTGGTGGTGTGGTGGTTTGTGGTGGTGGCGGTGGGTTGTGCTACTGGTGGTGGTGGTTGGTGTGGCGGTGGTGGCGGTGTTGTAGATTGTGTTGGTAGTGGTGGTGGGTTTTTGTGGTGGTGGGAGTGGTGGTGTTGATGGTGAGTTGTGGTGGTGGTTGTGGTGGTGGTTTGGGGTGGTTGGTGGGCTGTGGTGGTGGTGGTGGTGGTTGTGGTGGTGGTCGGGTGGGTTGAAGGCGAGAGGGTGGTGGTGGTAGTGGTGGTGGTGGTAGTGGTGATAATCGTCGCTGCGTCCCCGCCGTCGCCGGCGCCAGCGCCGGCGCCAGCGCCGGCGCCGAAGGGGGAGGGGGTTTTGAACCCCTCCCCTCCTTGGGAGGGGAGGGGGGGGGTTTGAACCCCCCCCCTGGGCTGCCTCTGGTCATCGTCGCTGCGTCCCCGCCGTGGGCGCTGCTGGCGGCCGTCAGCGCCAGCGCCGGCGCCGAGGGGGGGGGGTTTGAACCCCGCCCTGCCCCCTTGGAAAGGGGGGGGGTGGGGTTCGGGTGGGGGGAGGGGAGCCCCCTTGGTTTTGATCGAAGGCGCCGAGTGTTGAGGGGGGGCGCACACCCCCTGGTTCGAAACGCGCCGCAGAATGTTCCCAAGGCAAGCGCCCGTGAAACGCGTTCTTTCTGAGACCCTTTCCCCGGGGCCAGCTTTTTGTTTCGGATTCATTTTTGAGGGCCTCGGGGCCCAATTCTCGGGGGCGGCCAAGAGGGGGGTGATAATTAGGGGGGCTGGATATCATGGTGGGCGCCTTGATTTCTCCCTAGATGTCATAGCGCTTCTTCTTACTTCAATACGTCCCCGGCCCCACCCCCCTGGGCCGCGCACATGCCTCCGGCCATGATTTGCACCCCCCCCTCCTGGACGCCCCCCTCCTGGGCTCTCTCGACAATTCACAACGGACCCCTGAGGCCGAAATCAAGGAAAACCCCCGGACCGAACAAATCACATCTTCGGAGGTCTGGGAACGTGCCAGGGGGCACGGTGGCGGATCGCGATGCCAGATTGGACCTTCTTCAAGTATGCCTCCATCCACTCGGGTGCCGTCCACAGCAGCTGGACTTCAGGGGTAACGTCATGGGGGGAGAGTCTCGGGGGGGGACGCATCGACCCCTAACCGATCGTCGATAGGGGCCCGATAGCCTTACCTCGCCCAGGAGCGTGCGGATTTGCTCTCGGGGGCGTATCGCCGATCTATTGGCGATGCATCGCCGATTCCATG